CCATAGCCCGGCGAGCTCAGCTTCGCATGTCGAATTTAACCTTATCTTATCCTTGACCTCCCCTCACACCTCCGACGACCCTTCCAGTGACCGTGTCACCCGCGGCCGGCCATGCAGCCTGCCCATCCGGCGGCTCGGCCGGGCTCTACGCTCAGCACTGACATCCGGCATATCGTAGTGTTCTTCTATCTCATATCGCGTTCTCATCAATAAAGATTGAAGCCAATCAGTGTATCACTAGCCGCCACCTGTAATTCAACTACACTAAATATAGAAGGTTTAGTACCTTTTATACACATACATGTTTAAGTGTTTGTGTGTGTGTGTGTGTGTGTAGGTATGTGTGTGTGTGTGTGTGTGTCTCCGTGTGTGCGCAGAGTGAAAGTGCTAGATATTACAAAGGCAGAAGTATGCTTTCCAGAACAGTAAATTTCACAAAGAATAATAAAATAACTGCAAACAAATCAACATTTGATTAATATGTGTATTTCCCGGTAAGGAATGTGTCTTTTATTTCTATTTTCAATTATTAGTATCATTATTATCATTATTTTTCCTTATGATAAGTGTATATATTAAATAGATATATATACATCCTTAAATATATATATACATACATACATACATATATATATATATAGATATACATATATGGATACATACATATATGTATAAATACATGTATATACATACATGTATATACATACATAAATTTATACATGCTTATATATATATATATATATATATATATATATATATATATATATATATATATATATATATATATATATATATATATATGTATATATATGTATATACATATGTATGCGTGCATGTGTGTGTGTGTATACATATAATATACATACATATCTGTATATATTCACGTATATACATACATATACCTAAGTATATATACGTTTATATATACATATTTATGTATGTATATGTATACACACACACACACACACACACACACACACACACACACACACACACACACACACACACACACATATATATATATATATATATATATATATATATATATATATATATATATATATATATATATATATATATATAACGTACATATGTATAGATTGACAGATAGATTAGGTAAATGTACCAGACATTGCCCGGGCAGCTATCTAAATATGAACAATTGCACAAACAATAAAACAACAACCACAAGCAGTAAATCATATGGTCAAGAAGTAGATTTCTGGATCTAGATCTTTGTACTCAAATTATACAGCCAATCTCTGCCACACACCTGCTTGACGTCCTCTTCCCTATGTTGCTCTTCACTTAGCTAAAAAAAAAAACTTTTCTTTTACAATATTTCTGTTCAAAGTTTTAGCTAATAAGATAGGTGTTACTCGAACCGCTCTCTGCCACACCACATACTCAGATATCACCGAGGCTTTGTTATTTTTTTTATGTAATTTTACCTAAATGGTATATGTTTTAACTCCCTTGAGTCACAAGAGATTTAATAGAAAAGGAACTTACATACATAGACAGGAGACACAGAGATTTATTAGTGAGATACATAGATGTGTGTGTGTGTGTGTGTATTCTCGAGAATATCACCTACTGTAATATCACCAAGATTTCGCTATTCCTCATGTTAAGTTACACTAGTGGTCCAACTTTTAACTCCCTTAGGTTGCAAGTCACTAAACAGAGAAGGAACTTACACACACAGACAAGAGAGAGTGGGCTTTATTTATGAAATAGATACGCGTATATACAGACACGCATATATATGTATATATATATATATATATATATATATATATATATATATATATATATATATATATATATATAGAGAGAGAGAGAGAGAGAGAGAGAGAGAGAGAGAGAGAGAGAGGGAGAGAGAGAGAGAGAGCGAGAGAGAGAGAGAGAGATAGATAGAGAGAGAGACAGATTGACAGATAGATAGATAGAGATACATACACACACACACACACACACACACACACACACACACACACACACACACACACACACACATATATATATATATATATATATATACATATATATATATATATATATATATATATATATATATTTATATACATATACGCAGATATATTTATTTGTTTAAGTCTACGGTATTGAATATTATCTTATCAGGAGACTGACTCAGATCAGGCACTAATGATGCTTGTTAAGTGATTGCAAGCATCCTGACCTTAACCTGAGCTTCCGGAAGAGAGGGACGAGCAGCTATATAAAGCGGGGCTCCAAGCACAGTCGTCAGTGCGCTTCCACGTCTCGCTTCTCTCTTCGACAACTCTGTTCATTCCTTTTCATTTATAGAAAGAGACTCGAGCACCTTTTGAAATGGCACTCGATACGTCACCTGTTTCGTTACTCAGTAAGTCATGTTTCGTAGTATTCATTGTGTGGGAA